TAGACCCCCAGTGGGGGGGGGGGGGGGGGGGGGGGGGGGGGGGGTTCCACCCAGAAAACGGAGGCCAACTTTTAAAATGTCTATATGCATCCCCTTAAAAGTACTGTTTGACTTTGTTTCAAATCAACTTTGCAATCAGACTTTCAGTTTTCCTTCGGAGCTATGGACCTTTAAGGTATTCGCACACAAAAAACTGCAATCTGTGTCACGTATGCTTCATAACAAAATTATTAAGCATGCATATGCATGGAAGGAAATTGAAGAGCATAAATTCTTTATAATCTGCACATTTTAAGAAAGAAGCTACTTTTTCCCACCAAACTGGAATTGCATTTAAAGGGATAGTTCACCCAAGAAACTGAACATTCTTTTTCATCTGTAGAACAAAAAGGGTAAAAAAATTGGGTTTGTCCATACAATGAAAGTCAATGGGGTCCAAAACAACAAACTGAAATATATTCTGGAACACAAAAGAAAAAAATGCATACAGGTTTGGAAGGGCATGAGGGTGAGTAAATCATTTTGGCGTGAAATATCCCTTTAAGGAGTCCCCATACAATATATTCAAGTTTAAACTACTGATTCCATAAATAAACATTGCCCTTCACAATCCACAGCCTGAACCCTTCCAGCTCCTCATGCACAGGTAAAGGCTGTGTTTGTTTGCATGACGGAGGGGTTGGTTCATAAGGATTTAGTTCCTCAAATGTTCCTCAGGTGTGTCACTGTTATACAACAACACAATTACTGCTCTTTCAATGCTGCCAAAATCACCTCATTAGGGCGTCAGAATCAAACATTCTTGAACCACGCCTACTAATATGAGATTCATGAGTGTTCAGTTCACAGAATTGAAATACTCCTGCGCTGCAATCTGCCTCTCGACTGCAGCCACTGCATGGATCGGAATGGACCCAGTATAACAGCTGCTGGCCGTAGCTTTAATTTGGGCTAGTGCATGTACGTCGATTCGGCCCACGGTGTGAGAAACCTCACACACGGGCTCTATACAGTGCTTCTGTGAAAGAGCAAGGACATTAGATGTTGCAAAGGCTCCATGGAGTGTAATTAAGGGGTCTAGGAGTGCAGGGCTGGAAAACATGTGTTTTTGTCAGAATAATTATTATTATACTTTTTTTTGTGCCTTAAAACAGAGTGCACATTTCCAAATGTAAATAGTAGAAAAGTCTGAAACATGCACCAGTACTATATACTGAAGGTTTTTGTTATACACATTAATTTGGCTTGGGTTTAGATACACTGTAAACACTATTTACTTTTCCCAGGGAAATTTTCTGCCATTCTGAATTAAAAAAAAAATTAAAAATGCAAACAAGTCATTGTGCATTTGGTACAATCGACTTTTGCATGCCATTTCTTTGACCAAATGACAACAACTGCATAATAATAAGCCAGTCATTTTCAGAAGTTACTTGACAAGCTTAATGGTTGACTGCCACAAAACTTGGTGGGTCATTTTAAGAGCTTATGCAGCATCCAAATATTCATGCAGTATGGCGCTATAAATGGAAAACATGAAATGCATGCAAACAAATTAGCATACAACGAATTTAATGATTGTGCATGAACTGGTTTTATAAATCGTGTGACTTCAATTGCAACACTGTCTGTCGATAAATGTCAAGTATCAAGCAAATTAACGGTAATCGTGCACTTATGAGATAGGAAGCGCTGTTTTTCCACAGCATTTTGCTTGAGGGTTTGTGAATATTTTTGCATGGAGACTTGTGTAGCACATCTGAACCCTGTTCCTTAAACTGATTGCAGCAACAAAACTATATTTAGCTCCTTATTTTTGCAGCCTCTACCTATGCATTACTCCTGGAACAAAGCTTGCATGACAGAGCGTCCGAATCATTTTCCATTACGCGCAACTAATAAAAATTGTTGCATGCTCAACATGGCATGCGACCAGGCTGTCAGGTCCCTGTTTCCCCATTGCACTTGCACACTCAACCGTCGGCCAAAGTTTCGAGTTACCTAATGCACCTCGCATGCATCAACGACAGAAGTTGTACGAACGAATCTAATCTGCAGAACGAAGCCGAGGCCGTCGTGACGTCACAATCGAACATTGTTCGAGAGAAAATCGCCTCGTGCGCGTGAATAAGTCGGGTGCGGACAGCGCTGTCGTTGCACAATCACTTTTGCATTGCTGGCTAGGCAGTTCCTCAACGCGGAAAGAAGGCGTTTCTTTTAATAATCGTGGTAGAACAATAATGCAAATAGCGCCAGTGCGAGTGTCTAAGGAGAGCATCGCCTTCCCAGTAAATCTGCAAAAGGGCAGATCATTAAAACATGCATTGCAACTGACCCTCGCGAGCCATCAAACTTTGAATGCATTGGCCACGATGAAGCTGCAGCCGTGCACTTTGCAAGCCATGCAACGCTGCCTGCATTTCCGAGGTTTTGCACGGTTCGGTTGAGTAAAAAAAAGTACCTACCTCCTTTTGGCACGGACATCTCCCCTTTTGGGTTGGGGGAAGGGGACGCACAAAAGACTTTGCCTTCCTTGTCGCTCCCTCCTTCCATCTATCCCTCGCAGTGAGGCTTCAAGCGGGCTTGCTTGCAACAAAGGTGCAAAATACAAGCCCCGATCTTCATGCACTCGGAGCCTTTGGGCGTCGGGTAACTTGTTCTCCGTGCAAATGCTGGCCTTTCAATTGCACGCAACGAAAACGGGGAGATTTCTGCAACCGCTCTGCAACGAAACCTCGGCAGGCACTTACATGATGGGCCAAGGCCAGCAGCTGAAAGCTCCTAACTTGGATCAGTGTGAGCCCCTGCTAACACACGCTCTTCCTGCCTGACGACGCCGGGGATCATGGGACTGGTAGTTTGCACGTAATTGCTGTGCGCCGGGGAAAAAGGAGGAGCAGGCCAGATGCTAATGTGACTCTTTCAGGCTAGCAGACAGATATGGTATTTCAGACAGATAAGCAAGGGTGTCAGTGAAGTACTTGAGGAATTGAATAATAAAAGACTTCATTATGCAAGTGTAGGCAAATTATTTTTCTTTAATAATCGTAAATAATTCAACACAAGTTCTTGTACATATTATATATTTTTTTATTTATAAACTATTTCAGTAGCCTACTTTTTGTCCTTGGACAATCGTTACAAGAAATGATTTAATCCAATTCTTCTTCTTTTTTGCCATTAATTGTAAAAAAAATGATCTTCCTTTATTTGTATTATATTGTATTTTGTCTTATCACTTTGAAATTGTACAGTACTTTGGTACACTCATTTTTTTTAAGGTGCATTATAAATAAACTTTTATTTGATTGATTTTGATTCCGACAGATTTATGTATAACCGCTCCTGATTCAGAAGTGGTTTTGATTCACTTAAAACAACCGACTCATTAGAGTCGTTCTTTTGTTAATTGAACTACATTAATCGTTGTTGATTCAGTAAAAAGAACCGTTTCGGTCGGAATAGGACTACAGTTGTCGCTGGTGGCCTACTTGAGAATTTCCCTCTACTGTACTTTTTTACGCATTTCAATAAATAATAAAATCCCATCAAATTAAATTGAATAATCCTTACATATTATTCATTATTTTAAATGAGTAAAAAAAACATTTTGTATAGACCTAAATCTCAATAGACCAAGGGAATTGACCATTTAGTTTATGTGATTCGTATTCATTAAAAGAAAAATGAAAATGTTTAAATTTGTGTTTGAGATTTAAACAAAACGTTGTATTGTGCTATATTTTTTTTACTCATATAAAATGGTTAATTTATAATATGAATAATATATAAGGATTATTCGATTCAATTTGATGGGAAAAGGCTTAAGTGTACAGGCTATTACATCTCGTCAGATAAGTGCATTTAAGCGTGCCCTCATAAGAACTGAAGACCATGTCTGAAGTCTTTCTCTTCTTTCTTTTACCCTCATAATCAATGATGGACTCAAACTTCATGAATAAGCATAATTATTTTATTGCGTGGTCTGCACAGGAGAGTGAATAGCCTACTGAACATACACATGATCCCAACATGCAAGGAAACTGATCTAAAAAATGTTAGTGTGCAGGGCAAAAAGATAAGATACAGAAAAACAACTAACTAAGAATTTTAGATATTAAATAACCTGCACAACCGTGTGACATTTCAAGACATTACAGGTTTGAAAGAGATGTGATATTTCTCATTATATTTACAGTAGCACCTTGGAAATTTAAATGTTAAAAATAATGTTATTATGGCAAAATTATGTTCAGTCATAATAATATTATTTACAATGTACAATATGAATGCTGAATAAAACAATCTGATTTTAATTTTGTTCATTTTCTCTTTCTTTGACCAATGAGTCCAGTTTGAACAAAGGATGTTGTGTTGATTATACATGATTATACTTGCATGATTTAGGGATTCTGCCTAATTGAGTTGAAAATTACCTGCGATGAGTAATCTTTGGGACACAAAATGTGTCACAGCCTATATTAAAGTAATAATTTTGTCAAAAATCAAAATGCTATTGACCAATAATTGACCAAATTTTTGTTTCCTTTCTTTCGTGAAACGCGAAAAGAGATATTCATAAGAATTTCCAAGCTGCTCTTCTCAATGCCAGTGAATGGTGACCACAGCTACAAGGTACAATTTCCAACTTATAATTCAATTCGTTCTTCACAAAGTACTCATATTACCTGCTTTTAATGTGGTTTTATGGTGTTTTTGTCATTTTTAGAGCTTGACAGCTCCCGGCCCCTTTCCACTTTCATTGAATAAGAGAGCAGCGTTAACATTCTTCAAAACGTTTCCTTTTGTGTTTGATTGAAAGAAATATAGATTTGGAATGACATGAGGGTGAGTAAATAATGACTTTTATTATTAAGAATTTTCTTTTTTGTGTGAACCTTCCTTTTAATTTCGTACGTGTGGACTACTTTTTACACTTTTCCACCAAAGTAACTTAATATAAGGACAGTGGAGATACACTTCCTTAATCTCAGTCGCATTAGAGACACTAAACGTTTTCTTCCCAACATCAAAAAAGTATAGACCTTCTAAATCATGCATGTGTATCCTACTCCAATGTGCCTGTCACATTAGTTCTTAGTTGCTATGAGAGTCTGGTAAATAGGCTTTACAATGATGTGCAGGTACAGGGATCCATCCACCAGGTACTCGGATGTTTTATACTGCAGGTCCACGTCAGCCAGGAAGTCCCCCACCTCCTCTGTGCTTTGGTGGAAACCGAAGATATGCCTCACCACAAGCTTGCCCTTCTGCTTCGTAAAGATGAGCACAGTCTTTTGAAAGCTTACACCTGCAAAATCTGCGCTGGAAGTAGCAGGTGTGATGATGATACGAGGCCGGGCGATTCCACTTCCTCCGTCGGGCCGCGGTGGCTGCATGGCGCCCTGCTCGGTGTACATGGGCCGCATGCTGAGAGGGAGCCAGCGGGGCGAGAACAGGGCGTTCCACGTCACCCGCTTACTGGAGTCAAATCCGCTCGGACCCAACTGGGTCTGGAAACTGGAGCTGCGGTCGTCCCGTGCCGGGTTGCTTATGGCCCACTGAGAGCCCCACATGGACGAGAGGTAGTTACGGGGCACGAAGAGGCTGCAGTTCATGTCGAAGAACTTGGCCAGCTGAAGGGGTGAAGCTGAGTGGAACTGGTAGGACAGATAGAGAAGATCACGCACCGACTCGTGGTAGCGCGTCATGACCGGCGACTGTCGCTGCAGGCGAAACAGCTCGCGAGGAGGGATCATGGCGTAACGCACCAGGCGAAGGGCGTTCTCTGCTGTAAGGCTATCCGGGTCATTCTTGGTGATCCAGATTTCAAGCGCCTCAAACAGCTCCAGCTCGTTCGTCAATACTAAATCAGAGCGCTGCAGGAAGGTCATTAGCAGTTCAACACTAACCGAGGGCCATTCTGCACTCTGAAGAACCGATGACAGATTCCAGGACAAAAACTGAAGGCAGCTGTCTCTCAGAGCCGGGTCGCCCACCGTCATGGCGTACTGGTACCAACCCACCACGTGACCGCCCTGAGAATCGCTGGCCAGGTTCTGGCTCATGTACTGGGTCAGTCCTTGCTGGAGGCTGGAGATGCCGTACTTGGTAGCCAGTCTGTGCAGTGGTGTGGCCTGGTCCAACTGCAACGAGAGTTCACCGCAATACAGATATCTGCAAAACACAAGAACGTTTGGGAATCAAACTGAATTTTACATTTAAGTTCAGTGCCTGAGCTTGAATTGAACAAGAAACAGAATTGTAATTGTAATTTATAAGTATTTGCTATTTGTACTGTATATAAATTACATACTTTTAAAACCTTAATTTTATTTCATATTTAATATGTAACTTTAATTTTTCTAAACTTAGCTGACAACATTGTGGTGAATATTTTGGCTGTATTAGTTGTTTTGGCTGTAGGTTAAGAAAGTATTTGTCACTACTTACAAAACTTTTATTTCCTTTCCTTCATAGAAAACAAAAGGAGATATGCACAGCAGAATATAATTCATTTATATTTAATAAATTATCTTTATTAACAAATTATTTTTATAAAGCTAAAGCTGAAAACATTTTGGTTGTATTTATTGTTTTGGCTGTTTTTTAAGAAATATTGGTTGAGAAAAACTGTGTGTTGTGAATAAATATGCATGCTTTTTCAAAATGATTGAATTGCAATTTTTTTCTTCCTGTCATTCTTATTCGAATTCCAATTTTATCTTCCTGTGGGGTGTGTCCAATTCAATTCATATGTAACATCATTGAACAGAGCCAACTTTTTTTTTCTTTCTTTTTTTTTTGCAAAACAATCTTATGGCGTAAAACTGCTACCTGATAAAATAATACCATGTTCTATTATAAAAATATAAATCTCTTTAATAATAATGCATTTCTCTTGTTGATTGAGCTTTTTTGCTCTCAGTTTAATGCTGTCTCCAACACAAATTTGCCCTGTTTTTCTCTATTGCTGCGGATTGTATCTTTGTTGTCTTATCCATTGAATCGCTATAAAGGAAATAATACCCCAAACAAAAAAACTTCAGCTCATTTCAAATAAATGTGTAGGCGGCATGTGCTCTTGTAACCAAAACATCTTCTCACGCTAGCTTCACTTCACCATTGTAACTTCGCCCCGTTTGGCCCTTCTCATTATAAAGTGCTTTACATAAGAGTTCTTTTTGAAATATTGCAGTTGTGTTTCATTGATCTTATCTCCTGTTGGGTCAAAGCTGCTGACAGCAGGAAGATTGCAGTTCCACCATCGGCCATCAGAGAGAGTCTTGGACATGTGTGGGATTAGCCTGGCATGCCAGACCTACATCAAGATGTAATGCGAAATAATTTTCGCTGCCGCTAGGGTGCGTCTAGATTTCTAGGCTAGTGTGGGATGGGAATGTTCTCATAATTTGTCATGTCCTAACATGATTTGGGATGATACAGCAATGCAGGCTTTTTCCAAAAATGTCAATTTTGCAGTTCTATAAACTCAGTTTGATAAAGTCTCACGCTCAAATAAAGTCTCACCCAACTGCTTTTTTTCTTTTTTTCTTTTTTTTACATGTTTATGATGCTTTACTAGCTTTTCTAGTTTCGGTTTGACCTAAATAATAATAATATATAAAATATATTTTATTTTTATTTAATTGAAACACAAAAAGACATTCTAATGCACTTTTAATGTTGGTTAATAGAGACAACGGCAGTGATTTTTTATATTTTTAATCCATTTTCAAGCTTGGCAGTCATTGTCTTGTTATATGGTAAAACTAATTAAAAAAATTCCCATTTTGTGTTCTAAAATCAGCCTGTTCTCATCCCAAGGCGTCATCTAACTGACGCTTTTGACCATGTGTCAACATGCCGACGCACATGGCACCCCTTAAGCGTCAATATGAGACGCGCCTCCTAGTGGTCTAACCCTAACCCTACCCCAGACCTAAACCTACCCATAACGGAAGCGTCATCTAACTGACGCTAAAGGGTGCCATGTGCATCGGATTTAGACGCATGGTCAAAAGCGTCAGTTAGATGAGCCCGAGGATGAGCATCTCATATTGACGCTTAAGGGGTACCATGTGCGTCGGCATGTTGACGCATGGTCAAAAGTGTCAGTTAGATGACGCCTTGGGATGAGAATGTGTTGTCTAAAATACATTTTAAAATTCTCATTTTGTGTTCCACAGAAAAAAAAACGATGGATGAATAGATGGATGGATGAGATGAGAGTGAGAGCCCTTAAAAGGAGATGTCAACTATCTCTAACTCAATGCTTCTCACCTGATGAATTTATCGAACACAGCAGTGCATTCTGCCGTTTCTCGCAGCACTAGCGTGCTACTATTTCGGTTTCTCAGCATCTCTTCAAACACTCGACTCTGCAGCGAAAGCACCAGCGTGTGGGCTTGGATCACCTTGACCTCATCCGCATTCACCGTTTCCACACGTAGGGAAATGTCACTGTTATTCCCCAGCACTAGAAGGCCCTCCAGCCGTGCCACCAGCCCCTGCGAGTGACTGATCACTTCTGTGGTGCTTTCTTCCAGTCTCTCTGCCCTCAAACCTGCAGAGCGACGGAACAGAGGATCGAATAACTTTTAATAGACAACAAGAACACAGAAGCACTAAACACTTATAACATAACGTTACTGCAAGACAAAGAACAGAGGCAAACTAAGGGCTTGAATACAGAAGGGAGATCATTAACAGAACAGAGAACAGGTGTAACTCAATTAACAACCATTGAGACTAACTAGGAAACACATAAACGGGAACAGAATAGAACCAAACTGAGGATACGTTTACACGACTATGATGCTAAAAACTGAAAAGTTTGCGTTTTTTTACATAAAGACGACAACATTGTCAAAATGGTCCCGTTCACACGTTTCCACGAAAACAACTAAATGCTGTGTTATGCTTCCAGGCCAGTAGTTGGCGATGTCACTTTGTAAAGAAACACTACGCGCCTATGAACTGAGCACATAATATGCAAGTGCATGACATCACCATTTTCACAAATTTGCATTTTTGTAGTGTACACAGAGACGATAACGGTAGTTTTCTAAAGTCTGTGTTTTCAGGCCCCCAAACGGCTTTTTCGTGTAAATGAACGGCCAAAACAGATAAACGTTTTCCGCGCGTAATATTTTTTATGTTTTTGAAAGAATTCTCTTATGTGCATCTGCATTTAGACTATTTGATCAAAATACAGTAAAAAAACAGTAATATTGTTAAATATTATTACAATTAAAAATAACTGTTTTCCATTGAAACAAGTTATGAGTGCAAAAATTTTTTTTTGCAGACATTAGTCTTTAGTGTCACATGATCCTTCAGAAATGCTGATTTGGTGCAAGAGGGACATTTTTATTATTAACAATGTTCAAACCATTAGTGAAGCTTAATTTCTTTTATGGAAACAGTGATACATTTTTAAATGTCCTTTCATGAATAGAAGTTCAAGTTCGAAAGAACAGTATTTATATGACAACATCACATACTAAATATAATTCATACATACTTTAAATATATATAATCTTATTTGATTATCTTAAACATTTATTCATTTGATGTCATTGTTTTTATGTCAGATTTTCAGAACTCTCTGCTTCCTTCCAGTTCAAATGAGATTTTTCTGCACATCTCACCTCAGACTTGTGTTTATTTGCAGCATTTCCTCTTTTCTGTTGTTTATTTTTCACATACTAGAACTGTCTTAACCCTCTTGTTTTTCCAGAAGGGAACTAGTGTTTTTAAACAGAATGTGTTTTCATGGCTCTGCACCCTCAAATGATCATCCAACTTCAGCTGTGACCGGGTTCTCGGAAATGCCATCAGCCATTTGTGTGTGTGCATTTGTTTGTCTTGTGCGTGTGAACAAAGCACTTATAGCGCCATGGTTTCCTATTACTTGTTACAACATAAAGCACAAGCCATTATGAATCATAAAACAGGTTCGTAATGAAATGCAACATAATAACAGAAATCAAAGGAAAGTCTTAATCGCTAATCCTTCGTGGGTTTTTTTTCATCAGATTATAACAATTGAAGTGTCTTTTACCAGCCAGACATGATTAGGTAAGTCATTGTATTTGATAGAAAATAATTGGATATTATTTTTAATGCTAAAACATGCTTTCATCCTTCTCTTATTAAAAAAAAAGCATGATCTTGATCAATTGAATATCATCTTTTTCCGCAACTATGCTAAAATGTCTCTTAACATGCAAGTTTGCAAAGTGCAGATTTCACAATCCATACTATTTATCATCCAGCAGATGCTGAAACCTGGAGTTCTGGATACCTCCATCCACAAATCCAATACTTCTGACACTATTTCCGAACATTGCGTCTATTATCTGGGAGAAAGTGCATGAGAAGTCACCTTACCTCCATGGACAGGTTGCACATGAGACCCGGTGGCCAACAGCAAGAAGAGGGCAAACAACAAATAAGCCATCTTTTCTTGTCCGATAGTGGATTTGATCTCTTTCTCTCTTTCCTGTCTCTATTCTATATTTTCGTCTGTTTTCTTTCTCTTTTCAACCCTCTACTCTTCCTTGATTTAATTGTCTTTCTTCTGTTTCCTCCTCCTCCTCCTCCTCCTCTTCAGTAGATGATGGATGGTCTGTCGGCCCCCTTTATGAGGCATATAGACTATGGTGCATAACTAGTATGTAGGTTACTGGTTGTTTTGGGTTAGTTCCACCCTCACAATATCCTATCGATCAGTGGAACCTGTAGGGGGTGGGGAGTTCGTTTTGGTGGGCAGGAACGCCAGTTGCCATGACAACGGCTTTGATTTTGACTTTTCTCTTTTTTAATGTTGTATGACATAGATCCAGAGGAGGCCTCAGCTGTTCGGGCAGAACAAGCGTGGAATTCTAATCTCGGACTGTAATTGTGACTGAGAGTTGCAAGTGTGTCTATGCAAATCTGCATGTTTAAATGCATGCTTTTAGGAACTACGTCAAACTAGATTTTTAAAAAAAATTGATGAAAAAAATGTAAGTAAAAACGTACTTGCCTGTAGATAATTCACCTCTTTGAGGCCAGAGAGTTACTATGGTTGCATACTGGCCAAGAGGTGAACGTGATTTTAACAAGTACAACATGTACCTGAATCAACATCTTTGTTGATTTTGGTACAACATTACAATCAACCAATCATATTTGAGGGACAAATGTATGTCAAGTTTATAGGCTTACAACCAGGGTTAGGTGCTTCTACTATAGTGTAGTTGGGAAATCATTTCCCTCTGATTTTAGGGTTAACTTATGGTATATAGGTTTATTTAGGACTACATTTTCAGATAGGAATGTTGTTCCAGGATCAACAAAATATGTTGATCTAGGAACAAGTCTTACTGGGCAAAATCACGGTGACCACTGGCAAGATGGGCTTTTAATAAATGTTATCTGTCAATGCAGTATTAAAAAAAATCAGTGATACTTGACTAGAGAAAACTAAGGAGCCCCGGCTTAAAGGGTCATGGTGGTGGGGAAAAAATATGAGAATGTACGAAAAGTCAGTCATAACAATTCGGTTCGAACGATCTGTTCATTCATAAATCTGTAAGATCTTACCTTCATGCTGTGGAAATACAAACCAGAAGACAGAATGGGTGGACCTAGGGTCTATAAAGAACCTTTTATTCATTGAAAAGGTATCATGGCTGTTAAAGGTTCTTCATGGAACCAAAGATTCCAATAGAACCTAAAAATGTAAGTTAAATGGATAGTTTGCCCCAAAATTAGAATTTGGTCATCATTTACCCCCTTGTGCCACTACTGCATGTATTTCTTTCTTTCAAAAAAGACTATATTTTGAAAAATGTGTTGTTGTTTTTTTGTCCGTAAAATGAAAGACTTTCATTGAAGCTTGCTTCCATCACGTAATAAAAAAAAAAGTTAATTCAGTTAGTTATATGGTTTAAATCTCGCAATTGTGACTACTTTTCGCCATTGCGGGTTTATATCTTACAATTCTCAAAGACTCAAAATTGCGAGTTACTGTATACACTGAGAATTGCAAGATGTCAGAATTGTGAGTTATAAACTTGCAATTGTGAGAAAAATTGCGAGTTTACATTCGTTTATTTCTTTATTTGTCTGACTTTTTTCTCTTCCGAATTGTGTTATAGCAATAAATTTAGAATTGCCAGTTATAAAGTTCAAATTGTGAGATATAAAGTCGCAATTACCTTCTTTATTTTTTATTCCGTCGCGGAAACAAGCTTCCATTTTGTATGGACAAAAACTGTTGAAACATTCATTAAAATGAACATTGACAAAAGAAGCTCAAACAGGTTTGGGAGTGAGTAAGTGACAGATGTTTTAATTTTTGGTGAGCTGTTTTAAAATTGCATAACTTGATTAGCACAACAAACTGCTCAATTTGAGATATTATGCATGCCTGTTGCACAAACATGAAGTTACAAGTTTAATTAGGGTTAAAGGTTTGTATGAGACGTTAACTGGACTGTCTATGGCACCCAGACGTATGTGACACCCTTGTACACTGTATTTTACTGTTAAGCATTGCGCCAGCCAGACTGAACATGTTGTTTCTATTACATGCTGTCCACACTCAGGATCAAAAGAAGGATTGGAGTCTATTTCTCTCTCTGTGTGTAAGGACATCCACTCCTGCTGCAGAGTCCTCTAGTTAGAGGTTATGTCACTTGTTTACTGCCAGTCAAAGAGGGAGAAATGTGCTGAGAGAGCCTGAACCTTGGCTGTGTGACAAGGCAAAAGCAGGAACAGATATGTGTGTGTTTGTGTAAGTGTACGGATGTGTGCCGTGTGTGTGTGTGTGTGTGTGAGATGAACTTCCGAGTAAAATTTGAGTAGATCATTTACTTAGGAGAAACCCTAAAGCTATACCAGGGCGATCGTGACCCTGATCTAGACTGATAGTGATGAATCGGATTCCTCTTAAGGCTACATCATACAGCATTCGGTTGGGTGAATATAAAAATCGATTTGATTTTAACTAGGACAATGCACAGTCAAAGTTAAACAGACCTGAAAAGACAGCAGTCAATTCAATGTCAGAGAGCATTTATATCCATATTTATAATCATGTGCTTCATTTCAACCTATTCAGCACTTAATGTGCATATAGACACACAGTATATATATATATATATATGTGTGTGTGTGTGTGTGTGTGTGTGTGTGTGTGTGTGTGTGTGTGTGTGTGTGTGTGTGTGTGTGTGTGTGTGTGTGTGTGTGTGTGTGTGTGTGTCAAACACTTTATTTAATAAAAATACAGTAAAAATGGTAACTAATATACTAACTATATATAACTAATATGAAATATTATTAAATTATTTATATAACTTAAAATATTTTTTTTATATGTTTTATATAATCCTGTGGGAAAGCTGAATTTTCAACAACCATTACACACGTTTTTTTTATTTATTATTATTTTATAAATATAAAGTCTTTACTGTCACTTTTGATCAATTTAATGCACCTTTGCCGAATAAAACTATTAATTTCTTTTTAAGAATGCAGGATAATGTACAGTCATCTGATAATGACCATCTGATTATACCTTATGGCTTACTACATGTCTGTATTGTTTCATTGTTGACCTGTCCTAGGAACAGTCAATATTATTGTAGAGTGTTAGGACAGTAACTATGAGTGATGCAGTGACTCATAGACAGTGTAATAAAGCAGTACGCTTTCATCTTCGGGCGAAAGAGGCAGTCATTGGCAATAGGCCATATTATTATCAAGTCCACACTAATTTTGGAATTTTGAAGTAGAAATACTGAAGTAGTATTTTCTTGTAAAGCATATAATACTCCAATAATCTTTTTTTTTTTTTTTTTTACAACTTGGAAAAAATATGCATACTGTAGGAGACTGACAACATCATTTAAATGTGACCGAAGAGCCCTTGGTTTGTTATATACAAATAATTTATACTCCAGCATTTAAACCACTCAGTTAAAAGAAAGCCGTAGCCTGCTGGTAAATTGATCATTATTGATGACAATGTCAAAACCAGTGATACAGTGACCCAGCAAGCCTAATTCGATTTCTCTCACTATCTAATAATAGGACTCTATGTTTGACCCACTTGGCACCTCAATGTATCTGTTCTACTGCATTTCAGCTGTATATTGTGTTGTCTCTGTCATGAATAAATTGGTTTCATTTTTATTTTCCTGTGAATTATTTTGGTTTAACATTAGGTTGCCATACTGTGGTATCTGTCAGGAGTTATTAAACAACAAAGCATTTGACTAAACTTGACTGGGTATTGTCACTAGAGGGCAGTATTGTTGCAAACGAAATGCTTATAATGCTTATTATGCAAAACGCTCCTGATTACATAGAAATTTGAGTACACTTTACTATAAGACTCCCTTTGATAACAGTAGTTAACACGAACTTACATTGAAAACTTAATCTGAAGCATTTATTAAGGCAACACTTTATTTTGATTGGCCAGTCCGACATAAGTAACTTCCCCATGTTATTAATCTTAGGTTAATGTTAATTTCAACATAACATTCCTATATATAATATAAGCTAATATAACATAATATATTATTGAAATAATTGTTTAATTGAATAATTGTTTAATATATATATTATTATAAATTATACATCATTTAATGTACCTGAGCAAGTTTTATAATTAACATTAGCAAAGATGAATAAATGCAAATGTATTACTCATTGTTAATGTATTAACTAATTTGCATTGTGAAATTCATTTTCTTTTGTTATCCAGACAAAAGAGAGCATTAATCCATAATTACTCACAAAAAAGCCTTACCTCCCTTCTCTATCCATTAATTACTAATTTGCTTCAGTTCTCGCCACTTATTCATGTGTTTTTCCTTTTATCTTGTTTCTCTCCCTTCATCTCCCCCACATGCCTCAGAAATTACAGGTAATTAAATTCACATTCATAATGTTAGCCTCCGTGAACCCCGCTCACAGCAATCACATTATGTGCTGTTATGAATTAATGTGTTTAGATTGAACCCAAGGACTCTTCACTTTAAGTGCTTTATGAGTTTGTGTTGACAGTTTTTCTTCTTCACTCTTCAAAAGAGTAGGCTATATAAAAGCAAAGGGAATCAGTTCTGAGTGGAAAAAGTGGACATAACCCCTTTCTACATCACAGCAGTGTTTAATGGCTCTTGTGTAAAGTGTACCCCCCTCCTACACATTGTGCTTATGGAAGTTGAGATTTTTGTAGGCCACAGAGATTGACCACTTCCCATAGCTGTCTTTTGAAATCATATAGACATCTCATGAAATCAAAATGGACAATTAGTTTTATGGAATATAGTGTTTATTGTGATTTTTTTTTTTTTTCATGTGCTCTTGTAAACTTTAATCAAAATAACTTCCTCTCCCTCTTGAAGCGACATCTCTTCACACAACCTGTCACTCATATGAGATCATAGCAAACAACAGCGATCCGTTCAAATCTCAATGGACAAAATTAGTTCCTGACCTACATTTTTTCTTGTTCTAAAAGCAGTTTCACTCAGTCAGATATACGTCACCTGTGTCTGGGGACGTTACTTTTAAAAGGTCTGTGTTATTGCACTATTCCCTGAAAAAGTAACTAATTTTGTTACTTACCGGTATTTATGGAAAGTAATGTGTTATACTTTTGTGTTACTTTTTCTCACCTGCATGGGCTTGCTTGTTTGTTTTTTAATAACAAAAAGACATGGCAAAGACATTGGCTAATAAAGTGAGATTAAATACATTGTGCTATTTAACATATATTTAATGATTGCAGGTTTACGTGATATTTAGTACATAGTTTGTATTCATTTTGAGGAATATTGAATCTGTTTTTGTGCAAGTGAGATGAGTAAATGCCTGCTCACATTTAGTCTAGAACTACAATAACCATCATGTTTACACACAACACCTCTGCACTTACTCACACTCTCAACATGGGGACAGGAGATCTGTCAGTCAATAAATGGGAAAACAGTATTTACAGATATTGTATTTCGTTTGTCCATAGTTTTCTGTGATTCTGTGATATTTGGAAATATAAAAAAGGGGCTTTTTTCCCCAGAGGTGCAGTGTGTATGTTCTCAGAATTTGGACATTGTCTAGTGATCAACCAGCTTTATTGAGAAATATAGATATTTATAGCAAAGATTGCTCTCTATTATCACACAATATTAATCTGCTGACACCATGACCAATGACAGAGAGTTTACTCAGCTCATTTTCTGCATGGCCAGTCCTCTGCTGTGGTACAAGGCCAGTTCAGAGAGCATTCATCAAAATGAACACTCAGTGGTGAGTATGAGAGAGAGAGAGAGAGAGAGAGAGAGAGAGAGAGAGAGAGAGAGAGAGAGAGAGAGAGAGAGAGAGAGAGAGAGAGAGAGAGAGAGAGAGAGAGAGCGCATCCGTGCATCCCTTTCTCTCCTTCTTTGTCCAGATGGTGGTGTACATGTACTTTTTGTTCCATCTATCTGGAGACGTGATGTTTCCGGCTGATGAGAGAAGCTAATTAATCTAGAAAACAAAACTAGCAAATTATGGATTTTGGTACTACACTCTAAAAAATACTGGGTTGTTTCAACCCAAATTTGGGTCAAATATGGACAAACCCAAATGTTGGGTTGAAAATGTAATTAAAAATGTACAGTTGAAAGTGAAAGTTGAAGTTGGGTTAAAATTTTAAATGACATTTTTAACCCAACATTTGGGTTTGTCCATATTTGACCCAAATTTGGGTTAAAACAACCCAGCATTGTTTAGAGTGTAGTATATTTAAAAAAAAAATGCCTAAGATTGTGTGACTTTGTGAGCAGTGTTATTAACTCAAACTCAAACTATTAAAATGGTTTTGTTAATTAAAATAAAGCTGATATAAAATAAAATACACTGTAAAAAAGTACTATCAACTTGGATGTTTAAGTCATTTCAACTTAAATTACATTAAACTGACTTAAACAAATGATAATCTTGTAGCTATAACTTATTAAAAAAAAGTTTAAAATTGCTTAACTTATTTTGATGAGCAATGTAAAAACATTTGTAGTCATAACTTAGTGATCATATAATTTTTTTTACAATGTAGTGTAAGGTGACTACATGGGTTAAGTTAAGGTTCAGGGGAAGGTTCGGGGTTATACCTATAGTTATTGTCATTACTACATATGGGTTCATGCGAAACAAGGAATGTAAAATAAAGTGCTACCCAAATATTAGAGGAAAATTAGAAATGTTGTCTTGACAACTGACTGAAATAAAATGTCGATGTACTGAAATTACTCAAACTGAAATAGATATAAATTGAAGTTAAATATAGAATATTAAAGTTAAATAGAATTAAAGTTAAATAGAATATAAAAAACTAAAAAGAATAAAATGACAAAAGCACATTAAGTTAATACTGAGACTAAAATGAAAATTGAAAATATAAAAATAAAAGAAAGTGCCAAAATTGTATATAAATAATATTAAAATAAAACGATTTTAATCTTAAAAAGATTTAAGGGGCTTGATTTTGCCAAGTGATTACACTTACAATTTATACATTATCCCAAAAACTTACATTGAAAGATTTATGTAACACAGTGTCATTGTTACATAGTTACTATAGTTATAACTATAAATTATGCATAATAACATGCAACTAATCCTAACCCTATATAGTAGGCTAAGTATGTACACTCTAAACAATGCTGGGTTGTTTTAACCCAAATTTGGGTCAAATATGGACAAACCCAAATGTTGGGTTAAAAATGTAATTTAAAATTTTAACCCAACTTCAACTTTCACTTTCAACTGTACATTTTTTAAATTAAATTTTTAACCCAACATTTGGGTTTGTCCATATTTGACCCAAATTTGGGTTGATACAACCCAGCATTGTTTAGAGTGTAGTTACTTAATATTACTCAGTACTTAATTACAGTGTAACAAAGACACCTTAAAATAAAGTGTTACCATTTATTACATATTGGACTCTTTTGACTTTTTCCTGTAGGCAACCTCTATACCACATCACCCACATAAAGAGCACCCTGAACACCCTAGCATCGTGACAGTGAGTTTTGTGCAGGCAAGCGCCATTCACATTTACTTCTGTATAAATGTACAAATCTACATATTGATTCAAATGGTAAAAGCTTAAAGAGGACCACAGAGTCTATTTAGGCCCAAGTTAAATTTACATTTACATCACAGCCAGAGGAATCCATAAAGATCACACACACAGCAGATAAGAGCTCCCATGGGTCTGAAGGCATCGCTGCAGTGTAAAACAATACACCCTCTTCCTCGTGTGTCTCTGCTATACTGACCTCTCTCTGAAAGATGGACCTCTTTATGTCTGTCTCAATGCTTCACTCGTTTACCAAAATTCTCCCTGTGGAAATCAGCCCTGCTTAACCCCTCCCTCCCTCTCTTTCTATCTCTCCATCTCTCTCTCTGTAGCTCCTTCCATAACCTCCTCCCGAACTCAGTGTGTGGTTGCAGTATGTGTGTGTCTTCCTCTTCCTCGCTGTCCTCCTCAAGGGCTGCCTGGCTGGGCATCGGGTGTTAAGAGTATAGGACTCCTGCTCCAGAGTCCACGGATGGGGACCTGCAGCCATTTGTGAGGGTAAGAAAACCTTTCAGCCTTTATTTAGGAGAATCTTAATTTATTTTTATTTAAGAGAGTGCTAAGTGAATTTATCTAAGTGAGGAGTGAGCATCAATTGCATTTACAGTTATTGTTAGTATGTTTTTGCTGTATTAAATAGTGAATACAAGTAAAGTGGAGCACTTAATTGATTTTTTATTTAATATTGCTGCATTTAAAAATATATATTTTATATAGTGCAATATCTTTAGCTACTTGGTATGATCGTGTGAGGGGCTAAACATGTGCAATCATATTTTAAAACGATGCCAGATACAAATTAGCATGAAAGTGTCACAAAATACTGTTTGACTGGTACATAAATAATGCAAAGTCTTTTAGAGTTATCAATATTATATATAGGCTATATATATATATATATATATATATACTGCCAGTACAATGCCAGCTTTTAAAAAAACGAGAGTTGTTCTGCACATAACTCGTGTTGTGTCCTCTTGTGTTTTGTCATCTTAATATTTTCTCAGGATTTCCATATAACTCTGGAAGTCATAAAGATAGCTTTAAAAATGTGTGGTATTGTTTTTGAGTGCTATTAATCAAAAGACTGCGAATTTCAAGACTATTGAGATGTTTCTCTATCCCTCATCCTTAGCCCTCTGTTTCTATATCCTTCATCTTCTTTATTTCAATGAAACACTCTTTTCCCTGCATACGCTGATATGGATGGTATTGCTATACCATTGTCCTTGAGCTTATATCTATTGTCTCAGGTGTACCAGCCGAATATGAATAATTGAGTGTGTTTGTTAGAGCAGAAAGTCCATGGAGAGAGATCTGAAACCTTACACATTGACTCCCTGTACATCAACAGTGGCCATTTATATACTTCTGCAAAATGAGGTGATTTCACATGTAAAGCCACAGTTCATTATTTAGAAAAAAACATATTTTTTTCATTATTGTCTGCAAATCAGATGCGCTGATTCTTTGAACTAACAGAGAATGTGTGGGTATAGGCAGGACACAATGGGAACTGCATGGAAAACATTGCTGTTTGTCATTCACATAGTTTATGCTATAAGCTGCAATGTCATGCTTTGAGCTTAAACAGCTTGTACACGTTATTACATGTGGATCTTTTTGAGACCCTACTGGTAGTCTCTCTGGATGGGAACTTTGGAAATCCCTGTTCTTGGAATTAAGCTCTCATTGCACGAGGAAACAGTGCAAGGCCAGTTCAGATTTACGTCAAAATCCCAGCAATTTGATTTCTTTAATTGTGAATATCAACATGATTTAATGCATTTTTTTTTTATTTGGCCATAGAGTTTGTCTAATTTCACAATCCTACCTTGTCTTATGACTCTTGAGAGCTTTAAAAAGAAAGGTTACAAAGGGTTTTTTCAAAGTGATGCCATAGAAGAACCATTTTCCCCAGTTCTAAAAAAAAAAAAAAACATTTTGTTTTCTTGGTGTGAAGAACATTTTAAAAGCCTTTTTCCAATAAAGAACCTTTGGTGCACTGGAAAGGTTCAATGGATGTTAAAGGTTCTTCATGGAACCAACAATGCAAATAAAGAACCTTTATTTTTGTGTGTGCAGAGATGCTTTAATCTTATTTAAACTTCAGTTGTAAAAAAGATTCATTCATTCATTCATTCATTCATTCATTCATTCATTCATTCATTCATTCATGTGAATCAGTTACATTTTTTATTTAATGAATCAATTCAAAACTCTGATTCAATTATTCATTTGCATTATCACGTAAATGTTCATTCAAGTCCATGTGTGCAAATGTTATTATATTATTAAAATATAGTAAAAATATATGTAAATATTGTTTAGTGAGATATTGGTGTTTTTAAATGAAAATTATGATATCCCTATTAAATATTAAGATATAATTTTTTTTTTTTGTAATGTCGCCCAGCCCTTAAAATTACTCTTATAAAGAGGGTTGGCTTTGAGAAAGAGGATAATAATCACAAAAGATTTCCCCAAGGAAATATGGATATATTACAGGCTTTCGTTAACAGGCATGTCTAATGCATGAGAACAAGGTTCCTCTCCATAAAAATCTAAACCTCTTGAGAAAATAATATGGTGTGATTCCCATATTTATCGGATTTTATCACAAACCACCAAAATCATCACCCCCTCATTCTGAGAGAGGCAATGAGCATTTGAAAAGCTTTGTAATCATAATCACTTGGGCTTTCTCAACCGCTGTCCAGTTACCACATGCTTTACTGGAAAAACATATTGGTGCTGCCAGTGAACCTGACATTTTTACATAGAGTCAGATTCACAGAACAAGCAGCATATCATATAAACACACTCAAAGAGACCCATATAAACACACACATACTCCTCCTCCTTGCTTGTGAATCTCTTAAATGAGCGATGATTTGTTTGTAGATATTTTCAAAAGGGAGAACAACATCAGTAGTAAAGTACTTAAGAGAAAACCTCTCTTCTGTAGCCTAGCACACGCTCACCTGTAGTTAAAGATTGATCAGTTATCAGCTTCTGTATCAAAACAACTATAGAGTGAAGGGTCACAAAGAGCCATAAAAGTCTCATCACGCGAGTGAGGTCGTACCACCATCACTCGTACGAATTGGTCGTGAGTTGAACTGTCTATAATAATGGGATTATGCTCCTCTGGAAGTGGAAATTAAAAGATCCTTCTACCAGTGAGATCGTACAAATGAACTTTTTTGAAAGTATCTGTGGATCATAATTAATTCAGAAATGCATTGTGAAGCTTCTCAAATCTACCATTGTCTGTATTTGACAAGCTCAACCATTGGTATTGTAAGAAAAAAAAACATTTGAATATTTGTATTATCTTAAAATGATACTTTTATAGAAATATAAGTTCACTAAAAAACAGCATTTGGTCCCAAACTATCAAATCATTTTTTGGTCTGTTAGTTACCCTTTCTGACAGATGTACTTTTTTTATTTCATGTTATCATTAGGAAATAACAAAAGTGGATAAACAACATTGAAACAAAATTTTCTTTCAATGACCAGTTGTTTTAAGATATTTTTAAAGCTGTTTCAAGCATTTTTTTTTACACCATATATTTGTGAAAATTGATTTATGGGTTATACTCCTTAAATAATTTCTATAAATGTTTTCCCGAAACATAGTACCACCATTCTGTCATATAAACAACACAGATTTGACGGATTTCCCTCAAATGATGACAAATGCACATGAATGAAAGAAATTGAAAATGGGAAAGAAGGGCTCAGTCAGAATTGCTAAGGCAATCACAAAGACTCTGGTCTCCACATAAATCCCCAATAGGGCAAAGACAGAAGTAATTATAAGGTGACAGAAGACCAATCATTCCTGCCTTCTCCAATTCTCACCCACAGTGTGAATTTGCCCAGCTAAGCAGGACAGTTGATGATGAAGCAGCAACATCATAGCAGGCAATCATGTTCCACAACATAAACCCTCTCATATTGTTTGCCAGGAGGAAAAATGAATGGCTTTTATATATAGGCCTACTGCAGTTCAATTCCAATGACAACACAAAACAATGCACACTGCAAAGGCAAAATGCACCAAAGCACATTAGGGAAGTTGTTCGTAAAACTCAATGATGTCATGCGATAAAAGGAAATATAGAGCAAAGCTATCATTTCTGCTCTCTGCACTGGGTCTAAAAGCAAATAAACATGTTTGGCACAGAGCTGATCACCTCATCCTAGGGGGAAGTTATGGGAGTAATCAAAGTTAAACACAGAAGGAAAGGTAAAGTGGAAAGATAAGACAAGTAAATGAGGAAGAGTGTTGTGCACTCATTCCATCTGTTCTAATCGACTGTTTTTAACCTATGAGGGCAAGCTGTCTCTGTCATTAACACAATGACCCGGTGAGAGGACCAGAGCATAGTAAAATTCCATGCTCCATTATTCTGCACTGCAGACTCCGTAACGAAACACGTTCAGCACACAAAAAGGTTCATTTCACATTGGTTTCAGTTGTTGCTCAAAGTGACAAAGGTTTTAGGTCATTTTCAGACACTAGTGAGAGGTTTTAAGGTTTCCTTCCTGTTCTCTTTCCTTTCAAAAGAGGAACTCAGAGGCCATGATCGACTGGCACAATGGCACAGCGCCCGGCCAGCGGGAGGATGAGCGCAGCGCTCAGGAGAGGTCAGAGTGTGTGCTGGCTTACATCCCTGTCATCTACTACAGTGCTCTGTTGTGTGTTGGAGTGCCAGGTATGAGATGTGCATTTTAATACCTATATAAATAAGGATCAGGGTTGTACACCTTTGAGAATTGAATTGAGAAAGCATTTTAAGTTAAGAAAGTATGATGGAATGGAATGAAATTCAAAGACACTGCAGTAGTTTGAAATAAAACGTCATTTTTCTGAAGGAATTATGCCAAAACATGTTCAGCATTTAAAATAGACTTTGCATTTGATGTGCATATATTAATGGGTAACACTTTATAATAACGACACGCTAATAATCATTAGTTAAGCATGAGTAAACAGTTAATTCATCATTCATAAAGCATTAATAGACATTAATAAGCAGTTTATAAATACAGCTATAAATGCTTTCTTCTTGATTTACAAGCATATCTATAATTTATTTAATAATTGTATTTTCATCCTTTTATTAATGATCAATTTATTATTTCTAAATGAATAATTGCATTTTTTATAAACCAGTTATTTAAGAGTTTTCAGTGGTTCATAAGATTCCTTAGAACGTGTAAGTAAATGATTAATAAACTATTTAAATGTACATTCATACATCTTATTATTCAGACATATAGTGATGGTTACTTAGTGTGTTAATAAATGCTTTATTAACATGTATTTATGCTGTAATTCAGGGTTAATTCGGGTAGTTATAAAGCATTTATTAGTGGTCAGTTAACTATGTTTGTGAGCTCATCTAAAGTGAGGACTATTCATGCCTTGTAAAGCATTTATAAAGGAGATTTAAAGGCTGTTAAATATTTCTATGTTCTGTATCACTGTTGTGTTTGTTACATTTTACTGTTTAGAAGATTGATGCGCCTTCAAATCTCCTTTATAAATGCTTTACAAGGCATGAATAGTCCTCACTTTAGATTAGCTCACAAAATAGGTAACTTACCACTACTATGCTTTATAACTACCTGTATTTACTACATTTACTTACACTTTCTAAGTGATCTGTGACTGACAACTCTTGTTTGTAAATAATGCTATACTTCATTTAGAAATTATTAATTGATCATTAACAAAGTATGAAAATACAATTATTAAACGCATTATAGATATGCTTATACATCAAGAAAAAAAGCGTTTATAGCTGTATTTATAAACTGCTTATTAATGTCTATTAATGCTTTATAAATGATGAATTAACTGTTTACTCATGCTTAACAAATGATTAATAGAATGCAGTTATTATAAAGTGTTACCCAGCATGATTTAGCTCATGAAATGAAGTTTTTTTTATTTCTTTTAACTTTAATGTTTCTAAATTCCCCAATCCTGTCATTCTATATGGTCAACATTTGAAGTGGATCAAAAAAGTTCATTAAAGTTGTCCTAAGACAAGAACGGGTATTGTTCAAAATTCACATAAGGTTTTGATCCACATCAAATGTTGACTTACTGTAATTCAAAAAATCAATTCATCATACGTAGTTGATTCAAACTCCAATTTATGGAGTATTTAGATTAAGATAAGATTAAAATAAAATTGTATTTGAATATTGACCATGGCGCATAAATTGTTCCATTTATAAGATACAAATTTTTAGAACTTGGGAAGATGATCTTCTTCACCTTGAGTCGTTTGATGGAGGAGGGACATGGTAGATTTATTCAGTGAGACACACATCAGACCAGACAAGAAATCATTAAGCATCCACAAACATTTTACTACACCAATCCCAGAACAGACTGACAGCTGCTTAAGGACAAGAAAGGTGATAAATCAATCAGTACGACTCGAGTAACAATTAATTAGTGACTCATTTGAAAGCTATACCCGTACCATTAAAAACCAGATCAGGGTCACGGACAGATGCTTAGTATTCACAACAGCCAATTCAAATTGACCAGATGGCCAATAATATGAGATCTCTAGTTAACCCAAAAATGAGAAACCCAAACCCAAAAATCTTGTTGTTCCAAACCACAAAAGGAGACTTTGAATGGTCCAAAACATCATTGTATGGATGTAAAAAAAAAAAAAAAAAATTTCAAAATGTTCCACTGAAAGTCATACAGGTTTGAAATGACATGAGCGTGAGAAAATGCTGACAGAATTTTAACCTTAAAGGGACAGTTAACCCAAAAATAAAAATTCTCTCATTATGTATTTGTATTTTTATCATGCTTTGACCCTGGACCACAAAAGCAGTCTTATGTGTCCATTTTTTTTAAAAACGAGATTTATACATCACCTGAAAGCTGAATAAATAAGCTTTCCATTGATGTGGTTTGTTAGAATAGGACAATACTTGGCCGAGATATGGGAATCTGAGGGTGCAAAAAAATCTAAATATTGAGAAAATCGCCTTTAAAGGTTTCCATTTCTGTTGGCGATTGTTCTGCATCCACTTACAAAAATAAAATTTTTGATATATTTAAGGTAGGAAATTTACTAAATATCTTAATGGATCATGATCTTTACTTAATATCCTAATGATTTTTGGCATAAAAGAAAAATCGATAATTTTGACCCATACAGTGTTTTGTTGGCTATTGCCACAAACATACCCGTGCAACTTAAGACTGGTTTTGTGGTCCAGGGTCACATATGACATGGTCACTAAACTGTAAGGAAAGTTTGATGGAAAAATTACAGCGCACAGGTTTGGAACAACAAGAAGAAATAGAGTTAAATTCTCCATATTTTTATCGGATTGTTTCTGCTAATGGAGTTTTTTTTGTCTTTTTCTATAAATAGTTCTAGTACTTAAAGAAGAAAAAAAAACACACTTATCTCCTGTCTTGTCAACAAGCAAAAGCAGTACATATCCACTTGAGCTTAATCTCTTATTTGTGGAAAATCAGGGCAAAGGTTTCAGAGGGCCGCCATGTTCTGTAAAAATGACCCCTATAATCTTTTACTTCCCTGCTGTGTCTACTCCCTCCATGCCTTTGATTCCAATCTCCGTCTTCTGTTTCTCCCTTCTCTGGCCTCATTCCCTCACTGTTTATGCCTTGTCCATCCTTGTCTACCTCAATTCTTGTTTCTAATTCCAGTTGTCACCTTTTCCCAGTGAACATCCTGACATTGGTGGCTCTTTACCGGCTGGCGGTTCGTACCCAGAAGGCCCTCTACGTGTATCTTCTTTCTCTAACCGGCTCGGACATCCTCAGCCAGTTGTTCATCATCTTCGTGGGCTTCCTACTGGAAACGGCCGTGTTTCACAGAGACGTCCCTGTGCTGCTGCTGCGCTCGGTCAGCATGATGGAGTTTTCCGCCAATCACGCATCCATATGGGCCACCGTACCCCTCACGGTCGACCGCTACGTTGCTTTGTGCCACCCACTACTCCACCGACAGATCAGCTACCCGGCACGTGCCCGGAGGATCATCGCGGTGGTGTTTACTTTGGCGCTGGCATCCGGCGTGCCATTCTTCTGGTGGTCGGACATGTGGAGGGTCAGCCACGCGCCCAACAACTTGGACACCGCCCTGGTTTGGACCCACGTGACTATTATTTACTTTCTTCCGTGCTGCATCTTCCTCGTGCTAAACTCCTTGATCATTCTGAGGCTACGGAAGAGACAGCGGCAGCAGATGTGCCAAGACGAGAGCGGGCAACAGCTGGCACTGCCAGGCAAGCTGGGTAAATCCACAGCTATGCTCTTAGCAGTGACTTCTGTGTTTGCTATACTGTGGGCGCCTCGTACCGGAGTGGTGCTCTACCATCTTTACGTGTCATCGGTGCACAACGATTGGCGGGTACATCTAGCATACGACTTAGCCAACATGTTAGCCATGCTAAACACCGCTGTGAATTTCTTTCTGTACTGTTTTGTCAGCAAACCCTTTAGAGCGGCAGTGAGGGACGTCCTGTTGTTCCGGGGGGCACCGTTGCACCCACGCCGGCCCCTTCATCACCAGCGCAACGCTGCCAATGCCTCCACCTCCTCTATTTCCAGCACCAAACGTTCCCAGCGAGAGATCACCCCTCTCTCTCCCAAAAGGGCAGACATCAAGATGTAGTCTAGCTTAAAGGCATAGTTCACTTAAAAATGAAAATTCTGTCATCATTTACTCACCCTCATGTTCATGACTTTTCTTTTTTGTCCATATTTTTGACACACACACACACAAAAAACACTGAAACATTCTTTGTAATATCTTTTTTTGTGTGTTCTGAAGATGAAAGAAAGTCATACAGGTTTGGAATGGCAGTTTACTTTCGTAAATTATGACAGCATTTTAATTTTTGGGTGAACTATCCCTTTAAGTCCCAGTCTTGTTCTTATAATTAACTTGAAAAGAGTTCTAATTTGTGGCTTTTGTGGATTGAAAGGTTAAAGGTGCAGTCACATAAGTGCAAAAAAAGGTTCATTGTCTATAGTGAATAGTGTAGAGATGTATGAAGCACAGCTCATAGAAAAGTCACTTTCAAATCAAGCAGTTTTCAGCACTGCAAATTCGCACAATCAACTTGAATACGAGTAAAATCAGTAGGTAACTTTTTCACCCTTATGCAAAAACATTGATTATGCAAATTCTTATTGGAATGACTGGATTTTGGCCGTGAAATTTTGCAGAGCGACAATATGTGACCGCACCTTTAGTGTGTAACACTGCGTGATTGGCGTCACCAAACAGAATAGGAAAAATAGTGACTTGTTCCTCCCATAATAACATATCAACAGTCTAGCATCCATTCATGCCAATTTGCACCACAGGTTCATCTTCTTATCTGACCTCTGGTTAGTGACCCAAGAGATCACAGTTTATGGTCATTAAACAAAAGCCCAGTAATGTTAACTTTGTCTTGCTGATAAAACAAGTAAGGTTTGCAGGACATCTAACAATCAAGAAATAACCATTCCAGAATAGAGTGTGTTTTGCACTGATCTGCATATCTGTGTTATTTATTGTCCTGTCCTCTGCGAGGACAAGTAAACTTACTACAGTATTTATGAAACAAAGATGTTTGGCTCATTAAATGAGTATTATGTCTTGTCATTTTCCATAAATGGTTAACCTTCAAAGGAATAGGTGGAAATATGAATATTCTGTCATCTTTTAGACACCTTTGGGTTGTGTTACCAAACTGTATGACTTACTTTCTTCTGTGAAACTCAGGTAGGAGGAAAACTATTTTCCATATAATGAAACTAATCGAGATCAAGCACCACAAAAAAAAAACAAAAAAACATAAATGTATCATAAACCTGTTTCATATGACTTATGCTGTATAATCCAGGTTGTCTGAAGCCGTATACGATAGCTTTGTGTGAGAAAAAGGATGGAATTTCATTAATTATATGAAAATGCCCAATGTTTCTTTGAATTTGTTTACAAATAGCAAAATACACGTTCGGACATTTCAAAATGTCACTTTTGGTAGAAAGAAATTCATACAGGTTTACAAGGAGTCAATTTTGTCTGTTTTTCTTTTATATTTTTGGGTGAACTATTCCATTTAAATGTTGTATTTTGATATTGCAAAAAAATGTGTCATATATTGTGTTTTTTATAAATGTTGCTCATATTGTAAATGAATGAAGTTCTTTACAATAGTGTTTCATTAACACTTTTCTTTTATTCTCACTCATTAATTTATTAACTGTTTAAAAAGAAGGCACAGCGCTGTCACTGAGGCAGTACCTTAAGGTACAAAACAAAATGGTACTAATATGTACCATTTAGGGGTAAGTAGGTACAAAGATGTACCTTTTCACTTTTGTACCTTAGGTCAGGATACTGCCTCAGTGACAGCGCTGTACCTTTTTTTCCTGAGGGTGTACAATAAAGCAGTTTTAGATTTGAAGCCATCTTAAAAATTAAATCCAATCAAGACATCATAATCATTATACACTTAGTAATTTTCCATATGAGAAACAAATGTGATAAGCATTTAATTGTCTCATCAAACACAAGACGACGTACATAAAGTTGCATACTGTTCTGATCGAGACCTTTCTTGCAGCTGTAGGTTATTTTGCATGACTAAGTTCAACCCTTTCACAGCCCGTCCAGTGAAGCAGAACAAGATGGTTGACCTTTTTAACCCCTGTGTGCAAAGTGCAGTTGCTGGCTTAGCTGCGCATTCATTGCATGGCGACTGGATGAGGCTTTAAAAGGGGCTTCGACGTGGGAACACGACGAGTGAAGACACCACTGTACAAACAGACCGCCGACCCGAGGAGCTCAAGGTCTGCTGAACAAAGCCAGCCCTGAGCTTCTGTGCACGTACCCATCCAGCAACAGCTACAATTTCAATTTGTTAGAATTGTCCAGAATCGATTAAATGACTGTAATTTGTTATCTGATCTGATATCATGCAGCACTTGCCAGTGTGTGCTTAAAGAGAACAGATTCAGATTCATTTATAGACGAGCTCAATCTAAATGCAGAGTAAAATGTGATTCAATGACCAAAGTCTTGATGTTTTCACTTACACACCTTCCGACTGTATATAAAATGTGTTTTAATTTGAGTTTCTGATGGAAGAGAGACTGCATGAATCAATTAAATCAGTCCTTGACTTAACAAACAATAGCACTTCTCTATCTAAATGTTTTTTGAATGTCTTTAATGACTAATGGTTTAATGAAGTGTAGTCTTGGCTAAAAGGTACATTAAAAGCTTTGATTTAATTAATCTGTTAAATTTCAGAGGAAATTTTTTACCTGTTTGGTCTGGGGGGCGGGGGGGGGGGGGGGGTTATGAACTCTTCTCTTGTCCTTTTAGTGCACTTGTGTTTCTCAGCACCCAGTGTTGCATCCTGTTTCTCTCTCTCTCTCTCTCTCTCTCTCTCTCTCTCTCTCTATCGTGAGAGGGTGCCTCTGGCTTTTGATTAATGTGCACTAAATCGTGTACTATACAACTAAGAATTTATCAAGAAAAGGTGCTGGTTGTGATTGACTTGATTTGAAATGATCTAGTAGATAAATTAATGACATAAATAAGAGTTGATTCCAAATAAGTTGCATTGAAAACTGTTTTGTTGGTGATGTCTGCCACATGAGAACTTCCTGTTTCATGAAGTGATATAATTTAACCATAAAATCATTTCATATATGAAATATGACTTAGATTTGTATCACTAAACGTGTTTCTGTATGAAATGGCGTAACTTCTAAACTACAAAATATCCCCACAAAATAGCATGTGGCGCTTGCATGATGCTTTCCCTTAAAGGAGTTGCTTTGTTGTTCATGTTTTATATTGTGACGCACAAGCTTTCCTTTGGTTGTGTAATTGAATATGTGCACTGATAAACTGTTGATAAACGGAAATAAATGGATATGAGGATCTATTGATGTGTCCTTTAAAAAATAAATGCACTCAAGCCTGAAGCTCTGTTGCATTTCAGTGTTTAAAACATTCAGATAATGTGATGGTTTCTTTGAATTTCTACTTCTTTTTTTTCTTTGCTCACAAACTAGGAAAGAAAACACTCAGTGCGATAACTACAATATCCTGTTGTGTGAGCAGAACACATTCAGGAAAAGACAGGAAAAGAAACAATGAGTCTGCTAGCTTTCTACTTCGAGTATATCATAATTGTAATCTTAAAGAAATAGAAAAAGTCCTCCATGTGGTTATACTTTGAGTACACAATAGCATCAGAAGCAGGGTTTAAATCTATAAGACCGTATAAGGGAGAGTGAAAGAGGATCGTGATGTGACCTTGAGAAGGCTTCTGACTCCAGGTTGCTTGCATGCTGTCCTGACGCTGCTTGAATAAAAAGTATGAGAATTGCATAAGAAAAAAATGTTGCACAGAGCATGTGGCAAATATCAAACAAATCTGATTAATTAGAAGAAAATGTGAGTAATAGTCAAGCACGCACGGGATAAATGATAGATAATGATTACCTAATGATTTTCCACTAGGTGGCGTTGTGCTCACACATTTAGAAATATTATTCCCACAGGATTAAGTTTTGAACCTGTTACTTTTCGGCTTGTAAATGTGTAATGTAGATAACAACATTAATATATATTTGTAATATCACTATCGATATTACGCAGAAGCAATGTGGTTTGAACACATATTAAGAGATTGAGCTTACATTTAAATGGGCAAGACATCATTTGTGACTTCATTTTCCACCGATTCTGTTTAAGCTGTGTTCAGGCCCAAAAGAAACCAAAGAAAAAGAAACAAAGTCGTTGTTGGATTTACCTGAGTAGGATAGATAGATAGATAGATAGATAGATAGATAGATAGATAGATAGATAGATAGATAGATAGATTGATAGATTGATAGATTGATAGATTGATAGATAGATAGATAGATAGATAGATAGATAGATAGATAGATAGATAGATAGATAGATAGATAGATAGATAGATAGATGGATAGATGGATGGATGGATGGATGGATGGATGGATGGATGGATGGATGGATGGATGGACGGACGGACGGACGGATGGATGGATGGACGGATGGATGGATGGATGGATGATTGGATGGATGGATGGATGGATGGATGGATTCTATTATATATAGCTTACAAAGTCCTTACTCTCTCCACCATAAAGTGCTCACTCTACGATACCTCTTTCCCCCCCTCCGTTTTTCCAGGTAGTGAAAACAGGCGCGTTCCCGACGGTGAGTGCCGGGAGCTCGAGAGGGACGCGCAAGATTGAGTGTGTGCGCGCGCCCGCGCAAGTGAAACTGAGAGTTTGAGTCACATCAGTAGCGGCTGAAAGCTATCAAAACTCGCCGAGTGTTTGCCCTCGACTATCCTTGAAGCTTTTTGAAGGTTTGTTTGCCTGGAGTACAAAGGGAACATTGTCTTTTCAGGGTTTAATACCTTACCGCTCTCTAGCACATTTTGGCGTCGCGATGTCTTATTTATTTTCATGCACTTGCTTGAACTGGTAAATTGTGCTCATATAGCCAGAGAGTCAGAGAAACGACATAGTATCTACGTCTGACTGCCAAAGGTGAGTTTATTTTATTATTTTCTTGTGCATGTTTGTGATATTGTAAACAGATTTCCACTTTTACAATATGTTTGGGTTTTTGTGATTTATATTATTGTGTTTATTGTGGCTTATTGGTATTAATTAGAAATGTGTTTTTTCAATCAGTTTCATGGAGTCTGCGGGAATATTTTGTGTTTATAAATGTGTTGGTAAAAATATCACGATTATTTAAAGACGTTTTGTTTTGGGGGTTGTTTTGAAAATGTTTTACTACGGTGTTAAGGATGTGAATCAACTCAGAGAATCATTATTTCTCAAATACTCCCGTTATATCTATTTTGAGTAATGGGTAATGAAGAGAATCTTTGTTCACCTGTTCAGGTGAGACGCCCAGTCAGTCACAAACACGAATGCCTGACTGTGCTGCGCTCTGATTGGTGCGTTGGAAATGATTGAATGTTGTGATTGGTTCAAACGGCTATATCTCAAAAATGAGTACGTTGAAAAACATGGATTGGTAAATGCTAAAAAGCAAAAATGCATTTAAACCTTGCGAGATGTCTGTTAGCGTATGTATCTTATCATACTGTGGATCAGTTACACTTGTTTCTTCATCTTCATCTGTTGCATTCTATAACAAAAATTGGATAGCTATATTTTTGACATAGCCCATGATAGTTTTCGTAAATATCTCAGAAAAGTGCTTGTCTTGAATATATTTGAATTTGTATAGTGCATAAATAATATACAAATGTGGAAATCATTAAAAATGCTTTTCTAAAAAAATAATTTTCTATTTTGTGCCTTAGGCTATACTAAATAAAATTAACAATTAAAATGCAACTATAATACAATCACTATGATTAGATAACATGTTAATAAGTCTTTCTGTAGTTTTTTTCCTCATCGTTGCGTTGTTAGCTTTGTCTTATGACACAGTAGAATTTTTTATTTTTGAAAACTACACAGTGATTTAAAAGGCTTGGAATTTAAGATATTTCTTTTTTTTCTTAATCTAATTTTGAATTTCAAATAATAGAATGCATGTTGAATGTTTAATTGGCACACTGTTGACATTTATGGTAGAATATATGATACTATATTTTGATCACTCTTAGTTTGTTCAAAAACTTCAATCCTCTGCTGGAGCTACAATTCAGTTATGCCTGTGCTAATGTGATTTACAGAGAAAACCAGAGTTCTTCAAGGGCAAGAGTCTAAATGTATAAACAAATATACATTTATGTTATACAAGTATTCTTTATCAATCTGATCTGAAAACGACTGGCTTCATTCAAGCACAAACTGTACTGTAGCGGTTCCTGCAGTATCAGTAGTATTGATTAAGTAATAAAATCAGTGTAATGTGATCAACCAGGCACAACCTGTTAAAAAGAAACAGACTCAACACTACTGGGCAACAGTCTTAGTTCTGGTTGAGATTTGTTCATTGCTTTAATTAGATTCTTTGTGGTTAATGTTTACGAAAAACATAGGTGGTGTTTTTATACTGATTTTACTATATAAGGGTTAATAAAACCAAATACTAAGATTCATGTGTTCTGGGTTCTGAGTTTTCTGATTGAATTAGATTTATTGTAATCTCCTTCATTAAGGAATCTCTGACCATTTTAGTTGTTTTTTTGTTTGTTTTTTCAAACAGAACATTTGAGGATCATTCTAATTTATCCTGGACTAAGCTGTTAAATGGTAATACGTGTATTTCACATGATAAATGTTCCAAAACCACATGTTTCCCATGTGCAAACTATGTTTTTCTCATGTGAAATTCGTGTGGTTTTTGTAAGGGCCTGTCCGTTTGGCTTTTTACATTTTTCTCTACCTGAATCACTCTCTTTGAGGTTTTGAAAGTGTAACTAAGAAAATATTCTTTAAAAGACTAATAAATGATAAACAGACAGATCTGGATTAGCTCCAGGTGTGGAAATTTCTTCTCTTAATGATTAATCTCTGCTCATAAAGTGCAGTCACACTATCAGGGGTGTCTAATCCTGCTCCTGGAGGACCACTGCCCAGCAGATTTCAGCTCCAACCCCAATTAAACACATGAACCAGCTAATCAAGGTCTTACTAAGCATCCGAACCTTCCAGGCAGGTTGGGGCTAAACTCTGCAGGACAGTGGCCCTCCAGGACCCCTGTACGAGAATTGGAATTGTAACAAATCTATAACCAGAAAATACCCTAATTTTCTGTATACACTACCATTCAAAAGTTTAAAATCTGTATGATTTTTTAAATGTAAAAAAAAAAAGAAGTCTCTTATGCTCGCCAAGTCTGCATTTATTTGATCAAAAATACAGTGAACACAGTAATATTAGTTGTTTTCCATTTTAATATATTTTAAAATGTCATTTATTCCTGTGATGGAAAAGCTGAATTTTCACTATCATTACTCCAGTCTTTATTCGTTTGAAATGGAAACTTTTCTAACGTAGTCTTTACTGTCACTTTTGGTCAAAGGAATGTGTGTGTAAAAATGTTAATTTCTTTTAAAACAATTCTTACTGACCCCAAAAGTTTGAATGGCGGTGCTACTTAAATCATCATATAAGTTATATAATCCTGATGCCATTCATTGCAATGTCCAAAGTAATTTTGCATGCTCAAAGTCTAGTGAGACCACACCTTTAGAGACCCAACCTAATGTCCAGGCTGGGCCACACTTGTTGAGCACAAACCTGTCAGTGACGTTTAAATGGCTGTGATATTATTACGATTTTGACGTTGTCACTCCCTCCCTTGATATAAGGGGAGGATTTTGAGTCAATGTCACTCGCTATCTTGTTGTAACTCTTAATTGCTTCATGCTTGCATGCTCATTCTTGCTTTTCTCTCTTGTCTGATCTTAGGTGCTGGAAACCATGGATCACCTCACCTCCAAATCCCAACGTTTTCCTCTACTGCTCCTCACTGCTCTATGCGTTCTTCCTGGATCACTGGCACAGACTTCGATCCCCAAGGGTTGTGCCGCTGATGTGGACTCCTTGTATTTCAATCTGTGTGACCTGAGTGCTGTCTGGGGTGTTGTAGTGGAGGCATTTGCAGCTGCTGGTTTGGTGGCCACCCTGATTCTTCTGATCGTGCTGCTAGCCAGCCTTCCCTTTATCACTAACAGGAATTGGCGCAGTTCGTTGGGGCTTCACGTTGTGTTCCTGATCTTCACGTTTGGACTGTTCGCCCTCACTTTCGCCTTCATCGTCGGGAAGAACTTCGCCACGTGCGCGTCACGCCGCTTTCTGTTCGGGGTGTTGTTCGCCGGCTGCTTCTCGTGCCTTCTCATGCAAGCCGTGAGGTTGAACATACTAGCCAGGAGGAACTCTGGGCCCAGAGGTTGGGTTTGGTGTTTGGGTGCTCTGGGACTCTGGCTGGTGGAAGTTGTCATCAACACAGAATGGCTAATTATTACAATTGTACGATACCCAACTAACATTACCGGAACCCTTGCTCCTGCCACTGCTGTTCCCTGTAACATTGAAAACCAGGATTTTGTCATGGCGCTCATATATGTTCTAATTCTACTCTTGGCAGTCGTAGTGGCATCCTTACCCATATTGGCAGGTAAGCACAAGCGTTGGCGCAAAGATGGAGCCCTCATCCTGGTCACAGGACTGTTTTCGGTGGGCATCTGGGTGGCTTGGATTGTCATGTATGTATACGGGAACTCAAAGAATGGTGGGCCAACATGGGATGACCCCACACTGGCTATAGCACTGGTGTCAAACGCATGGGTGTTTCTGCTGTTCCACACTGTGCCGGCGGTGTGCAGCCTGAGTGAGGTAGATGACGATCCAGCTGTTGAGGAAGATCTGTACCCCAGCAGAGGTTACGAGAACATTCTGAAGGAACAAAGCACACAGAGTATATATATGGAGAATAAGGCCTTCTCTATGGATGAGCCCCACACAGGTAAATGCACGCTTTTGAGCTTTTATTTTGTATTCCTCTTAACTTTATTATCTTTGCTTTAAAGTAAATAAACTTTACAAGCTAGTTTTTATTAGGGATCCATAATATATATATCTGTGATAGATAATATTATCAGGAAATATTAGTGTTTTTATCAGCATCGGTCTGATTAGGCTGATATTGGAACCAGATAACATAAGGGCTTTTTCCTATGCCAGATATAAAATGTTCTACTGTAGCCTACATCTATTTATTATTTTTTATAATATTTATTTATTGAGGTTTTGTTTTTTGTTCTGTAATCAGGTCAAATATTTTTCCATTCTTTAAAATGTTATTGGCTATCTGCATCTGCTAAAATGTGCATACACTACCATTTAAAATGTTGGGGTTAAAATCAAGTATTACATTTAAAATTTAAAATAACTTTTTACTCTTAATACATTTTAATATATTATGTAATTTTATTCATGTGATGGCAAAGCTGTATTTTCAGCATCATTACTCCAGTCTTCAGTGTCACATGATCCTTCAGAAATCATTCTAATATGCTGATTTGGTGCTCACGTAACATTTCTTATTATCTATGTTGAAAACAGTTGTGCTGCTTAATATTTTTGTGGAGACTTTGATAGGATTCTTTGTTTATTTGAAATAGAAATCTTTAGTACCATTATAAATGTCTTTACTGTCACATTTGATCATTCAGTTTATTAAAAGGACAGTAAAGACATTTATAATGATTTTATTTGTGATCAGATTATATAATGTTTCTAATAGCAATTTGCATTTGACAGATGCAATCCGTTTACATTCCGTTGAAGGATTCTGATAGCTAGCTACACAGTAAACAAGACTAACGTATCAGCGTGGACGTACTATATTTGGCCTGTATGAGAAAACTGACTGTAGCAGAACGTTTACACCCACAATCACTGAGAGTGTAAAGTATACTTGTTGCATTATGGGTTATGTTCTGACGTATTTCAGAACGGGAAAAAAAGTGTCTGAAATCAGGCCTTTAAAGCTCCTAAAAGTGTCTGTGTTCAGGTTTCACATATCGTAGGCCTAAGGTGGTGCTAATGCGTATTAGAACTGTTAAGCCGAACATCATGAAAATCATCCCGTTGATCATTCCGAGTGTTTTAAAGGATGGATTCTCAATTCCAAACTTTAATTACTGTTTATGGATCTGAAACTTCTTTGACGTTGTGTGCAGGCATGTAACCTTACACCTCTAGTTTATGCTGTTTCAAAAGCTCCATCCAGTGATTACAAATTAAACTAATTCTGCCTGCCAATTATATAATTCAGAAACCCAATATGTCTGTGTGTGTTGACATACTAAGAAGAGAGGGAACGTGTGACTTTGAGAGAGGACAAAGCTGCAGAACATGCTGGAACAGGACTGAATTTCACAATAACTGCTGCTTACACCACTGAATTTGATATGCTGATGTTTGAATCCACTCAGTCTAATATATGATGGTACCGCACTGAACATGCTGTTCATCCGTCCTCTCTTCCTCTTTCTCCTCCTCTCTGTCTGTCTTCTCACTCTCTGTCTGTTTCTCTCTTTGTCTTTGCACCTGCTTGTTTCCTCTGGGCAAACATGCAAATATCTTTTCTGCCTTTTGATGTCCATGAAGTTGAACCCCAGGTAGCTGAGAGTTTCCATCCATTCAGAACTGTGTCTCAAACCTTTCTATTATAAATCAACAATATCCAACTGTGTTTTCTCAACCAATAACTGCTTGACAGTACGGTTGCATACTGTATATTCAATAATCTAACAATGACGTACCATAGGTATAACATTTCCATGTTCATCAATATTTGCATATCGTTTGTGGTTTTGTGAAGTAAAAGGAATGCGTCAGTTTGTATTGAACAGGGAGTGTTTGGAAAGTTCAGGAGTCATATCTCACTAGTAAATGAATACCCAGAGCAAAATGGAAGACCTCTCCCACCCTGGCATGAGTCAATATGAGAACACACATAGACCCTGAAGCATGTGTTTACATTAGCATGTCTCCATGGAGACTGAGGTGTGGCAACAGTATCATCAGTATTTCACAGAGCAAGAGGACATTTCTGCCCCACTGCATCAGTGCAACCTTATCAAACCACAGTGCGTGTTTTAAGATAACTTGAGAGATTTGTTCAGAGGTTATAAAAGAAAGCCATATATCTCGAGGGTATTAAAACATAACATTATTTTATTGTTGTGCTTGTCCTCCAAATAAGTGAATAAAGTGTGTTTAAATTCTACATAATATAAAAAGTCCATATGCAAGTATATACACAAACACACACCAAGGCTATTTGATCAAAAATTGATCCAATAAACAATGCAATATTATTACATTATAAAATAACTGTTTTATACTTGAATAGATTTTAAAATGTAATTTATGCCTGTGATGGCAAAGCATCATTACTCCAGTCTTCAGCGTCACATGATCCTTCAGAAATCATGCTGATTTGGTGCATTTCTTATTATTATCAATGTTGAAAACTGTTGTGCTGCTTAATATTTTTGTGGAGACACAAAAGAATAGCATTTAGTTGAAATATTTAGTAACATTATAACTTTTGGTCAATTTAATTCATCCTTGCTAAATAAAACTATCCATAAAGAAAAAACTTACTGACCCCGAACTTTTGAACAGGAGTGTAAATGCAAATATTACATAAATATGCTAAATATATATTCTAAAGAGTGTCATTTCAACATCAGTCAATGTGAAATCAACTATTATACTAATATTCTGTGGGAAACAGGTTATCTATTCACATTTATTGCATACAGCTTTGCCATTTTTGTCTCCTGAAGTATTTGTATAAGGCATGTCATGAAAGGTTGTATTCAAATCCAAACATTTAACATCTTTAAATTTTGTGTTCTCAGGTAATAAGCCTGTGTCCCCATACGGCGGCTATAACGGCCAACACCGAAGTATATATCAGCCGACAGAAATGGCCATCATCACCAAAGGAGTGAGGAATGTGAGTGCACATATTTTACTACTGATTTGACTATGCATACAACCACCGAGTCTTGTGGTCCCTGTTCACAAACAAAAAAATAAAAGCCAGCTACAAATAGAAAAGTCCACATCTTCTTTCAATGTCATAGATCTGAATGTTTTTGTGCATTTGTGTGTTCACCTGCCATATCTATTTGGACTGTGTTTTCGGCTGTAGCCACAGGGGGAAACGTATGACAGTATAATTCCACGAGCATCCGTAGGCAATCCACCCGGAGACCAAAGCGGTCACACCAGCCCCTCAACACAACTTGATGATATAAGAAAATATTCAAATGTACGTGGGGAGCATTAGTAATGCTGTGTTTGTATGCTTTGGGTCTCTCTAGTCTGTCGCCCTTCTCTTTCACCTGCCTTCACTCTTTTTCAACATGTATGCATTTTAACCTACTGACAATTTAACCGAATTTGTGTCCTTCAGCTTTGTAAGGGTGATGTGTGTATATATAAATACAAATAAAAATGATTATTATATGCACCATTCATATGTGACAAACTCAATTTAAAGGATGTTTTTGTGACCTGTAAACATCAAACATTTGTCAAGCTGTTAAACCATTAAAATTACGGATTCTTAAATGGTTTGTTATTGAAGCTCATAATCACCCACACAAAACATCCTTCAACTTGAACTTGAATTTTCTTCTAAAATTTCTGGGTCTTGCCTCGCACTTTATCGTCTCTCTCAATTACACACGTCCGTGGGGAATTCTTCTCTCTCTTTGTCTTGTCAGTCATTCTTTCAAGATCTGCTTTCATTAGAATGCACTTGGTGGCTGTAGCCTTCTGTCTGGGATGGAGGAATTTAAAGGCCGTTTTAAGAATATTTTTGTTCGTGTTTGTTTGTGTTGTTAATTATAATTTTCATTTTTTATGAAGGTATGAGGTGGTGGATGAAGAGATCAAATCTATTAAACTAAACTGTATGTTTTCTGGCTTTTCCTATTTTATTTTATTTTTTAAAATCATTTAATAACCGTTTTTCTCACCTCTGTTACATGAGGCATCTGTGTATTCTCTTATAGACCTTGGTCTGGTTAGTCGCCATATTGAATTTAACATGGATGCAAACAAGGCTGTGAAGGATAGACGCATCATTTACTATGGCGAGCACTAAAGGTCCTACCTAGATCATATCATTTTCACAACTCACAACTTTCAAAAAATGTTAACATGACAACGATGTACTAAAAATGAAAAAGGTTTTCCTTTGTTTTTTTCGCGTACAGACAACAACGTTTTCAAAATGATCCCATTCACACGGTTCCACGAAAATGACTAAAACGCTGTATTATTCATGCCAGGCCAGTAGTTGGCGATGTCACTTTAAGAAACACTGCGCGCCTATAGACTGAACATGTCACCGGTTTCACAAATTCGCATTTTTGTTGTTTACATGGAGGCGATAATAATAACTTGCACTTTGAAAACCAATTCCAAAGTATGCGTTTTATGCCCCCAAAACGCCATTGTTGTGTAAATGAACAGCCAAAAAGTTTTCAGTGGAAAATGTTGTTGTGTAAATAGCCTCTTTGTCAAGTTTTATTTTTGGAAAGGCATTTTGTCAGCTGAACAATGTTGTCAAACAACAGTACAATCCATTGAGCGCACTGTTCTTTTATTCCTCACAGCCTTGTTTCCATTCCTATTAAAACTTAAATATGGCGCCAGCCTGATTAAGGTCTATTGCTATTTCCTCTTTCTGTCAAAAAATCACTGTTAAAATTAACCTTACACATATTTGTATTTGTTTCTTAGATGTACTTCTTTTTCCAATAACATTTTTTTAACAATATTTGGTTTTAAATGTAACTTTAAAATATTAAATTAATATTTTCATGTTGATCCCAGAAATGTAATCTAATGTTTCCTCTATTTCTCTCTGTAGGGAAATTTCAACAGAAGACCCCAGTGATCTGCTCACGCCAGTTGTCCCCCCCCCCCCCCCCCCCCCCCCCCCTCTTGTGTTGCTAAATTAAGATTTGTGATTTTGTTTTTCTTTCCATCGCTGTGGTCGACTGCATAGACCAACTTGTGTGAACTCAGAGTAACTGAGCAACATTTTGTTGGTTTGCTCTACTGAAAGACAATGTGTTGGGTTATCTCAACCTGATTGAACCGTTGAAGACGTGCAATTGTACAGTATGGCTTGTTTGTGCATGGGACACATTAAAAAAAGATTACTTCTTGTACCAATGATTGTATAGACTACTGCAATGTGTTTACTAAGAAAGCACAGATGAGCAAAGGACTGTAAAATAAATGTGTGCTGGTTTTCTGTCTCTCATCCTGTAAATTGAGTTCTGACATGCTGCTTCAATCACTGTAAATATTGGACACCATACATATGCATAAACCCTAATTTACATATATCAAATATTAACAATGTGCAATCTTTTGGGTGCAGCAACTGGATTTATGACTATTTTATTATTTTCCCAACTTTGTATTTATTGTCAATGTACAAAGAAGCATTACACTCAATCTGAACAGAATATCTTTGTAATGGTTCTGTTGATTAATGTACAGTATATATTAAAATTTCACTGAATGGGAAAATCAGTTTGAAAGGAAATTTATTAACTCATCTTGCTGTAGTTGCCAACAGCTTACCATGTGAAAAACTACATTTTTGAAGTTCTGAAATGTCATTGTGAGACTGATTGTGCATGTGACCTGGTCACAGGGACTTCATTGGGATAACTTCCCAAAGGGAAGTTAGTTCGAATGGAAAATTCTCTAAACCCTAACCAGTCATTACATTTACATAGATGCTGCTGATAAGTTTCTCAATATGTCAGCCTGAGCTACAGTGTTCCAGATGGAGGGTTGTTAAAGGCGGCCATTACATCAACACGTGACCAAAGCATGGAACATATAGTTCAAGTTCACACTGTTTTTATTTTTGTATTATAACTGTATTATATGTACTAATGACCTATGTCACCTTTATTTATATAACGCTTTATACAATACGTATTGTTTCAAAGCAGCTTGCAGTGATAAACAGGAAAATAATGATTCAATGATGCAAACAGAGTTAAAGAGTTCAATTCTACTGTAAAGCAGCTCTAAATAGAAAATATTGTCATTGTTCAGCTGAGGTAAGTTCAGTGTTGATCAGTTCTGTCTAATAACTGTGGTAAATAAACAGTGTGGTGCGACTACAGCGGGCACCGAGGCGGATCCGAGGCCCACCGTTCAAAAGTTTAGGGTCAGAAAAATGAAGAAATTAATCCTTTGTTTAAAAAAAAAAATTTTTTTTATCAAATTAATACTTTAATTCAGCAAGGATGCATTAAATTAATCAAATGTGACATTAAAAACATTTATAATATATTTGAAATAAGTGCTGTAATGCTGAACTTTATATTCATCATACAATTTCACAATGAAAAAGAACAGACTTTGTGAAATGTGCAGGTGTATAAAATAGCAGGTTGTTTTTTGGGAAGCAATGCTGATCAATTGAGTGTAGCTTTGGGTGACTCCCTCGTCCAGTAATGCAGACTTTTCAAAAAATGAGCTTTCAAATCAAGCTTCGCAGACTGTTCATTAATCGCAGCTACATAAAAGAGTCAGCGGTATAAGTTTTTGCATAGTGATTTTCTATTCCAGTAACTCTTCTATATGCACATTATCAGTGGTTTTATATTCAAATAAATATATTTACCTATATACGCAAGTGTACAACAAAATAAACATTTACCTACGCAAATGTACCTCCAAATGATTTAATACATTGAGGTTATCAATGCATATCTGCCTCCACACAATGAAAGTCAATGGGGTCCAATTTTTTTTAGACCTCAGTGTTGTTCAAACCGTCATCTTACATTCTAACATACAGGTTTGGAATGAGTAAATTATGACTTTTTTCCATTTTTGGTTGAACTAGCCCTTTAAATATCCTTTCCTACATCCTGTTCATCAAATCATATTCAACAATTCACCAGCATCTGTCTTACATTTCATTCTGGTGAGATAGCAGGATCCACCCAAGCTAAATTCACAATAAAAACACAAACTACCTTCTCGGTTTTATGGTACCAAACGTGATTTAGGATGCGTCTGCAGTTTCTCGACTGTCATTGGGGTAGACAAGTTCACCCCGGCTGCCTTCTTGGATGTCTTCCCTGCAGCCGTCCTGACTGTGTATCAAATGTTGAGCGCTGCCGGTAAAATCTGGATGCTGAATCTATAGGTAATATGATAAGTATTTTCTCCTCACATTGAGAGCACAAAGTGCTGGGTATTTAAGGAGAAAGCAGACATACAAACCTGTCCTTGAGACACAAGCATCTTTTCTCCAATGACATTGAATAGCTAAAATGTTAGCAGCTGTTTGTTATTCTATTCCAAAAGGACATTTGACACATTAAATGAATGAGTAGGTGTTGTGGACGTATAAGTTTTCCTAATTTTCATCAACTTGGCTAAATTAATATATCTAATGTAAATTACTTGTTTGCAATTTGGCAGCAAACATTTTTCGACAAGATCTAATTTCTGGTTATATATATATAAATATAGCTGCGAGCAGCGATGACGGGCCCAAGCCTGTGGCACCGCAACCCCGGTGCCTTGACTTCATTCCAAAAACCAGGATGTGATAATAAGAATATTTTGAATAAACACACATGCATATCAAACATGAATGTATTTTGTCCATAAACAAATCCTAGCCACCTAAACCGGCTTCATTGTATAGGCCCCAGATCAGCACTTTAATATGATATATTTTTGGATATTAATCAGAATTGTGTTGTACATGTAATCTCACTGTATCAAATGATCAACCTCGGATGTGTAACATAAAAGAGTGATATATTATTTGCCTCTAATGATCAGTGGCCAACTTTTCCATTTTCATAATGTTGCACAAACACATTAAATGAAGTTTTATGTAACAAAGTTCGGGAGGAGCATGTTCAGGTAATCATCCAATCAGCACAAGAAGAAGCCAGTATAAATAAAGCCTTCCCTTACCTCCTGTCTCATGACTTCTTTCTCAGCATCTGACTCCGCCTCCGTGCAGGCATGTCCGAGCTAGAGCTCTTCCCCTCCGACGATGAATCTTTCATCTCGGAGTCATCTCATCCGCAAAGCGCAGATCCAGCAACTCTTCCTTCCCCAGCAGCCAACGTCAACATCGAGCCTCCATCTTCAACCAGGGGACGTCGGCCCTCCAGATCCTCTCCGCATACCCCAAGACGCCGTAGACTCCCCTCACCACCGCCAGCGAGGATCTCATCATCTTCATCATCGTCTTCCTCCGCGCCTTCCCACCTTCCAGCTCCCCCTAACATCCCCCCAATAGGGAAGTGGACGGTCAAGGGGCTAAGACAAGCCCTAATTAATTCTGATGCAAATTTCTCCCGCAGGATGAAAAAAGCAGAATTATTTAATTTATATGTCACCTTACAATCTTCTCACCCTTCTGTTTCAGCTCCAATTCCTTCAGCTCGAGCGAGCAAGGCTCGACGGGCCCCGATCGCAGCACTGGGCTCCGCCCCCACGCCACGACGTCTCAGACCTTCCGCTAGCCTGGGCCGCGCCCCGGAACCAGTCACGATCGAGCGCCAATCTCCTCCAGGTCAACTCCTCTCCTCAGCCCCGCCCATCGTGGTACCTCACACTTTAGATCCTGGCAGTTCCACTTTCTTACACGATCCCCAATCGGGTTTCTTCCCTTCTACTTCTTTCAGTTTTCCTCCTTCCCAAGCGTCAGGTGCTCACCCTAACGTGAGGATGCCTCCGTTAGCCGGTCAATCGCCGGCGCATTTCTTTCCCCTCCCCTTTCCACACTATGCTCTCCCTATTCCTCCTCCTCCATCTAACCCGGGGGCCGATCTCCGCGTGAAGATGCCTCCGCAAACGGCCACAGCCCCGATTTCCCATCCCTTTAACCCTCTCCAAGCGCGTTCTCCTTTCTCGCTCTTCTCAGCCATTCCTCAACCAGTCCCTCAGAATGCAGTAGCTACTGAACCTCCTCCAGTGACGAACAACATCAGAGCTCAAATCTTAGCAGGTGCAGACATTGATTTGGGTTCTCTCCTGTCCTTGTTTCCTCCGGCTGAGTCCAATCGCCAAGTAGACTGCGGCGACATTTCAGTCACTCTAAAAAATAACGCACAGGTTACATCACGTACATTGTCACTAGCCGAATTCTGTATAGCCTTCAGCCGCTATACAGAAGTCATATGCTCATCTTTTCCCCACAGACGGCGCGAGCTGAACGACTATCTGTCTATTATAGCTGAGCTCGCGTTGTCTTACGGGGGTAGTCACTTTTATACGTACCACAAGCTGTTTTCCGCAAAATGCGCCGTCCGCGTTTCCCAGTGGAATCAGTGTCCCTATTGGGGAGCGTTGGACACCGATCTCCATAACCGAGTCTTCCTCGGGTGCAAAAATATCTCCTGCGCAATCTGCAGATCCATAATCCATGCCACCACGGCATGCCCCCAGATCAATCCATCGATCCCTCCCTGCCCAGAGCAGAATGCCATAAAATCCACAAGTTACGTTCCGCGCCACGCAAGAGAAGATTTTTCAATCAGAGCACCATACTCGGCACCCGATAGACAAGTTTGTAGGAATTTCAACGAAGGGAGATGCCCAAGACAACGCTGTCGTTTTCTCCACGTCTGCGATTTCTGCGGCGGCGCACACGCCCGCGTGATATGCCCAGTTAAAAAATCTGTCAATAAAAATGCAAAAAACTATCTCTCGACTCCTGTGAATGTTTTCCGTCTAGCCGAAGAATTATCACACCACCCTGATGTCAACTTCACAAATTATCTATTGACAGGTCTCAATCAAGGCTTTAAACCCGGCGTAGAAAGCCATCCCACGCAAAATGTTATCTGCGCTAACCTTCAGTCCGCCTTAGCAGAGCCTGGAGTAGTAAATAAGCTAATTAAAAAAGA